CCGACGGGCCGGCGCCCCCCACCGGGGTGCCGGGCGTGCTGGACCGCCGCGCCCCCGCCGCGCTGCGCACGCCCAGGTGAGCGCCCTCCGCGGGGGAGCGCCGTCCGAGCTCCGGGCGGCGGGGTCCCAGCGCGCGGCTGCGCCCCCAAACCCGGGCCGTGCCCCGCCCCACTCTCCCGCCCTCCACCCACTTGCTGCAGCCCTTTCCAATCTGCCGAGCGCCCAAGACCCCCAGTTCGTCTGCTCCGACCGGCTGTAGCCCATGCCCCTTGACCTCACTCTCACCTTCTCCACGCCTGTCTCTGCCCCATCTCCGGCCTGGCTGCACAGTGCCGGGGTTTACTCCGAGGTCCCCGCCCGCTGCCCTCGGGCCGCCTCACCTGCTGTGCACTGCGGCCCGGTGTGAAATCTTGCCCGCCTGGGCTATGGGACCGGGCTCGCCCCGTGCGGCCCCGTGGCTCTTTGGGCGGGGAAGCGGATTCCTGGGTGTATATGCAGCCCACCTGGAGTGTTCACTTCCCCGCGCCTTTCTAGAGCCAGAAGTGCAAGTGAGAGAAGTGAGGTGCCTCTTTCCTTGCACCTGTGGTTCCCCCGACCCTCCGCTGCCTGCCAGCTTGCCTTCAGGGGCGTGGGGAGGAGCTGCCAGGGAAGGAGGTGGGCTCTCCCTGCCGGTGTGTGCAGGTAGAACAAAGGCCCTGTACGACCTGGGGCTGGGGGCGGGGAGGAGGCGCAGAACCCTTCCGGGTACAAGCTTCCCTTGAAAAAGGAACAAAAGGCTGATGGGGGGCTGCCTTTCCTAGGAACCCACCAACCGGGTTGGGGGTAGCTGAGCTCAGGGGCATCTGTGCAACCAAACACCTTCCCTGCAGGTCCCTGAATGCTCCCCATGTCTGTGGGGACTGGGGGGCACAGGAACAACTTGTGTGCGGGCACCCGCATGGGAAGGAGTGCTGGGGAGCACTTTGTAGTAGAACCCAAGGCAGTGCTGGGTTTCCGGCAGTTAAAGTTGGGGTTATTTCCTCCTGTTCTGGTTGGTGCCCACTCATCCTGCAGGGATGCCCCTTTGGGGCCATTTCCCCAGACATCTGGGATGGGAAATGGCCCCAAAGGGGCATCCCTGCGGGTGAGGTCTTCTTGCCTGTTTTTCTTCCATATTTGCTTTGGGATTGAATTTGCACACAAGCTGGGGGTGGGGGGGTGAATCTGTGTCTGATGTAGGTGTGTTCCTTGGCACTCTTGGGTCAGGAAGGTGTAGTCTTACGGGCATGCTTGGGGGATCCTGGAGGGTCCAGTCAGCTTGGAGCTGAGCGTAGTCCACGGTTCTGCTCCCCTGCACAGCCCTCAGTTCTTCTTTCCCATGGTCTTTTTCAGACTGTCAGGAAATTGGGGCACTAGAATTGGAGGGCAGGGGAGTCTTTCCCCTGTAATTTGGCTGTGTGCACACAGCAGCTCCCAACCTAAGAGGTGATTTTCTGGGTCCCTGTAGGCCATGTAACAAACTTGGCGATTACCAAGCTGCCTGTCCAGGGCCCTTGAAGCTTCCTCCCCAGCCCTAGGTCTGCTCTGCCCAGATGCACATTCTCGGTGCAAGACCCCACCGCCCACCCCCACCACGGTCCAGCCCTGCTAGACTGAGCTAGGCCTGGGCCCTCAGCCACCCACCTACCCGCTGCCCTTCTTCCAACCAGAGCCCTAGGCTCCTGAAGCTGGGAGCTGGGCACTGGGTGCTGAAAAACCCCAACAGGCCCAAGTGCTCCCCTCCCTGCCTTCAGGGGGTGAGGGGTGGAGGAGTGGACACCGTCCTGTCTACCAGACTGCACTAGTGCAGGAGAGCCCCAGAGCGTAGAGTGTGCAGAACCTACACACAGGCTGCCAAGAGGCCGGAGCCTTTGAAACAGGCTTGCCCAGCAAAGGTGCCCTCAGCTTCAGGTTGCAACCAGGTCACTCTCCCTGCAATCCTGCCTCCCTGTGGGTCCCCAGAATGAAGGGCCACTGGCCTCCCTCCTCCAGCATTTGTCCACGAGAACAAATGTCCTCACAGCCAGGAGTGAGAGGTCCAGATGAGGCACACCAAGTGCTGCAGGAGGGAGGCCCTGGCGCCCCTGCCAGGCAAGGTGTGTGGGACAAGAAGGAGATGCCATGGGGGTCAAGTGGGCGCCTCTTGCCGCAGTGGGCAGCTGGCCCTAGGCTTCGAAGGTGCTAGCTCAGCAGCATGCAGGCGATGGGTGGGAGCCTTCCGGGGCCCTAGGAGACCCCCTCTGCCACCCACTCTGGGAGTGGGCTGTGCCACCAGGCAGGTGACAGCACCCAGCCCTCTGAGTCACTCTCCCCCTCCACTCCAGTTGTTTTTTGTTCCAGGCACTAGGTAGATTGCTTTTTTAATGCACTTCCTCGGGAGGCCAAGGTAATCTTGGCTTTGTGTGTTTATAGCCCACCTACACTGAGATTCACCTGTTGAAGGCTCCCCCAGGCTGGGCCTGGGGCTGGGCTATGGAGCCATGGAGGTCTGGATGCACTTCTCCCACCAGTGGCTATGCACAGCCCTGGCACTGGGGGTGCCTGGTGTTGAGTGGTGCATGGTGTCAGGAGCTCAGATGTCACCCTCACCTCCCTGCTGTGTTTTCACTCACCCTCTGTCCAGCAGGGCTGGTCCCGCCCTCCCTGGGACCCTGTGGGTGCTGGAGCAAACACCTGGCTGCCAAACTGAGAAGGGGGTGGGTCTGACTATGCATAGGGTCCTGACAGGCTCTCTGGGGGCTGGTACCCTATCTTTCTCTTCTCTCTGTCCCCAGAGCCAAACATACTGTGGGGCTTGGATAAATGCCTCTCTGCCCCAAGGCATGCTCTGGGACCTCTCCACCAAGCCCTCCCCACCTCCCAATCAGTATCTGCTGTATCTGGGGCCTGCGGTGCAGTGGGAGTGGGGCTTTTCCCAGATACCAGCCTCCCCATTGCATGGCATCAGCCTGGGCTGCTCTGATCTGGACATACATTCAGGTGACACACAGAGATGGACAGGTTTTTTGTTTTTGTTTTTGTTGTTTTTTGTTTTTTGGGTTTTTTTTAATTTTATTTTGTCGATATACAATGTGGTTGATTATTATGGCCCATTAGAGATGGACAGGTTTTTAACACCTGTCTAGAGTATGGTTTGGAGCTCCTTGCAGCTGTTAGTGTTTTCTTGACTTGGTAGACAGGAACAGATGTGCGAGTAGAGAATTGTCAGGTCCTTTGTCCTATGTCCACTGTGAGGGCTGTGTTGCCTCCCGCCATCTGCCAGGGAGCTTGTGAGACTGCCCAGGAAGGACGGTTTGCTGGCTGGCCTTGGAGATGTGTGGCTGCCCACAGGCAGCAGCCAGGTGGCTGACCATTACCAAGGGCTACTTTGGATAGAGTGTCTCAGCCCCCCCACACTCTAGTGTCACCTCAGAGAGTTCAGATGGTGCTCCTGGAGCCCAAACGTCTCTCCTTCCCCTTCCTGTCTGCCCGAAGGCAACACAAAAAAGAAACATGGTCAGGGTTTTACCTGGGCAGCCCCAGAAATGTCCCTGAAGTTGTGTAGACTTCATTTGGGGCCCAAGTGTGTCTTCTGGGCCATCTCGGCCAAGGTCCTAGGCTCAGCCTGCATCCTCCCTGCAGCAGAAGCCCTTGGAGCCCTCGTGGGGACATGGTCAGGGTTTTACCTGGGCAGCCCCAGAAATGTCCCTGAAGTTGTGTAGACTTCATTTGGGGCCCAAGTGTGTCTTCTGGGCCATCTCAGCCAAGGTCCTAGGCTCAGCCTGCATCCTCCCTGCAGCAGAAGCCCTTGGAGCCCTCGTGGGCCCCCAGCATCTGTGACATTGGCCTGCAAAGATGGCGCTTCCCTGCAGGAGGTATGGAACCACTCTCACCGGTGGTGTGTACCCTCTCAGCGCCTGCAGCTTCATCTTTGACCATGTCCCCCCACCCCCCGCCGCCCTTCCATCATCCTGAAGTCTTCTCAGCTTCCAGAAATCTGCCCGGTACCCTCAGCTGAGCCTATGCCCAACGTGCCCTCCCCCACTGTTCTGCCAACTCCTCCTCTCCCTTTAGTCTCCACTCCGATGCCCCTTCCTCCAGGAAGCCTTTCCCTGGCTTCCTGTTCCTAGGCTTCCCTGTTGCCATAGACACCCTTGACCGCTCTTCCATCTGCCACGCCGGCATGTCCATGGTGCATTGGCACTGGCTATGGTCTGATGCCTAGTGCTGGCACCAATGAGAACATTTTACTCCTGGTCCCACACCTTCTCCAGGATCTGGCTTCTGTCCCACCTTTCCCCATGAGCCAGGTTCTAGGAGTTGGCCTTGAGTGCTGTGCCATTCCCTGGGAACCTCCAGGGCTCCTCAGTGGGCCACATCAGGTGGGGGGCAGGCTTAGACTGGAGCATTTCTGTGACTACTGTTTCTGTGGCATTTGGAAATTTCTAGCTTGGCTTCATTATCACTTTCTTCTCTGAGACCAAGGGACAAAATCCACATTCACTGCGATGGGAACAGATGTCACTCAGAGTATGTGACTGTGGCCAATGAACAGGACCTGGGGACCTGGAGGGAGTATCACCATGGCCTAGAGAGAAGTTTGGTTGAGATAAGAAGGGAATCTAAGGTCAAGATGTTTGGAATTAGATTTTCACTAAAAACAAAAAGTTGAAAACTACTTTTGAGCAGACACATGAGAAGGTAGACTTAAACGTGGTTTACTAACAGGTGATCCAAGATGGTTCTCCAGCTATGAGGTCATCTCTGCTCCATCTAGGGCACCAGAGGCCGTGCCAGACGGGGGCTTCCTGCCCTCCTGGGCACTTCATGTTAAAACCGGGGCAATGCAAAGCTGCGTTGGGCCGCTGTGCTGTGGCGGGGCTGGCTCTGCTCTGCAAGTCTTGTCTGCTCTGGGGTTAGAGAGCCTTTTCCCAGTGGGGGCAGCACCCCCACCCCCCACCCCACCCCCGTCCATCATTGTGGAGTCAACCTGGGTTTCTTTCTCAGTGGGGAGTCTGAGAGGTTCGGTTGCCAAGCTAGGGAAGTGGCAGGCAGTCAGTGACTACATTGGGTCTAGAG